TAATTCATTTTTAATTAGTTCATATTTATTTACAATTCAATGAAACCTCCGTGAAAGTATATTTAGAAAAAAATGAACAACTGCATTTAATAATTTAATTCTCAGAAGCAAATTTCACTTTAAACACTAATCTCTATTTTCAGTATTGAAGTGGCAGTATTGCCCGACAGAATTTTCAAGTTTTGCCATTTTCGAAAGTTCAGATAATTAAATGACAAGCGAACCTGAGCATTCTTGGTTTTTGCGCTTTGATTCATCCTCTGAAAAAAAACACTGCAAAAAATATCTAATCCAGAAATATTCATTAAAACGTTGAAGCCATTTTTTGAGACAAATTTAAAATATCCTTGAGACTTTGTGCTTTCACCAAAATTAAAATATTAATTTAATATTCAGGGAGGAACAATATCTATAAGATTGATTGGTGAATAACACTTTTAAGGAAAATCGAGAATGCTTGTTTTTTTCACAGCCAGACGGACGTATGGACAGATGTTCTGCCGTAAACCAAGTTTTCTCAACAAACTCCAAACTTAAAAAACTTGGATGTTGACTACCTAAAGTTTTAGAGAAAATAATTTACAACATATCCACTAGTAACAAGAATTGCCCATTTTTTCGGTATGAGGGACCTAAAAATTGCCAATAAATAGTCAATATTTACTGCAGCATTATACAACTTTCTCGATACTACTTATTACGTAGAATGCAACATTGAACTTGTTTCCTTCACTTAATAATATCCTTAGATTTATTAATATAAAGTTTCTAGTACATATTCGAAATGTCTTCGACCACATCAATACGTGAGCATCAAGAATATTTGATGAGTTGCCTACCAAAAAGAGGCAATTGTTACATTAATAATATCGAGTTGTGATATTTATCACCATGTTCATTGGCCAAAATAAATCGTATCTACATGCCGTAGAATACATTACAACATTTATTTAAAGCTGCTCCGCTACTCTCTGCTTCCGAGGGACGTTCAATCAACAGCAAAATAAAACGTTTTCATATGTGTTGATTAATAGAACTAAAGACATAGGATCATTCCATATGTTATCTTTGGAACAAAATCTCTCATCTAAAAAGAAGAAAGGTATAAACACAAGAAATTAATTTCACAAATTGTACTACTCAATAACAAATCACATAGATTAATAATACCAAGTCCCACGCAATTTTCGCGCGTGATCTGTATGTTTTTCAGTACGAAAAAAAAAAAACATAAAATATATTTTGAAACATTTAGCTACGAGTAATTTTCTGCATCTAGGAAGCACAAAACATAATCATCATACCAAACTCATTATTTTTTTATATCTTTATCTTCGTCATTATACATTTCCATTGCATCTGAATGGTTTGCTTTCACTGCTGTTTTCCGATCTCGAAACGTAATTATCAAAAACATTCGACAAATCAAACGTGAAATTCCCATTTCACAATAGTAATAACATTTTTTTCATTTAACAAATTTGAAAATAATTTCCTCATTACAAAGTAGCATTACATTTCCATATCATTATTACACACTCATATTATTCACTGTTTATAATTATTTTTTGAAAAGCATTATTAATACTGAGTTAATATTTATAACATACCAGAAACAAATATCTTATTTGCATTTGAACATAATTTAAGGAGCATTAATTGCTTTTAACTAGATCCTGGGTACTTTCCACGTAATCGTTTCCTCAGTATCTTTCCTTCCCATTGACAATAATATGAACAAGTAACATCTTTAAATTCGTGAGCTACGTACTATGATCGGCTTATTAACAGATCTGTCCTGTGCACCACCTTTATACGCAGTGTGCGATTTTACCATCTGATCGATTCATTCTTTCATGTTTCCGGACATGTCAACTACTATGGTCCGTCCCTTATGCAGTGCGGATTTATCACGAGAGGCTAGATGATTGGATTCGGCGGCGATGCCCAGCAGGGCACAGCTACAGGTGGAACAGGCTTTAATCTCCAGACATTCCACCCGACATGTGTGATAGTGTAGTGCATATTAGTGTCAGTGTGTTTAAGAAAGGGGCGAAAATATGACAAAGAAGAGGAAGGAAAGATCGCGCGCGGTAAATGGCCCGTTGGATAGTATATTGCTATGGAATTTGCCTAGCGTTGAATGGAATAACTACTGAAAACGATTTCACTAACATTCATCTAACGAGTCATCAAAATTACTCGTAGTTCTGTTCCATTCTGTTCCACCAATGTTTACCCGTCGCGTAGATGTGTTAGTTGGTAGTTAAATTCATGGATATGCAAAAAACTTGAATTCTCGTAAGTAGAAAATAGTGAAGAAAAGACTCCGTAGTGAACATATGTTTAATTTCTGAAGAAATTAAAAGATATTTATACGAAATATATTTTTTTATTGAAGTTTAATTTGTCGCATCATTCAAATAAAGTTTTTATTAATTACTATCTTCTTCAAATTTCTTTTAAAAAGACTAAAAAGCACAAATACACAAACCGTACTTTTAATAGATTTTTATTACTTTGTTAAATTAATGTAAATCAACTTACCTTACATTATAAGAGCAATGAATTATTATATTTCGCTGAATTTTAGCGAACACTTTCTCAAAATAATGACATTATTTATCGTAGATTTATTCTCTGGAGCTTTCCTGCTCTCAATTGATAAAGAGCAGAGAAAAAAGTTATAAATCATTACAATATCAACTATCCCGAATAGAAAAAATATATTTCAGAATTAAATTGGCCAGATTTAGCTGCCGGCGAATCAACAATCATGTTTGGAGTTTCCCATTTAAAACTTTAAAGTTGTAGGGTAATCTCGATTCTCTGATTTCAAACAAACCGAGGACTTACCAGGCGTTAACAGTTCGTAATAGAGTTGCTATCGCCCGTTAAGTTAAACAGAAGTTTAAAGTGCGCAAAATTTATGAAAGACAACTGTTTATAATGAACCATTAACATCCACTAGTGAATCATTAGTATGTAAATAATCAATTTTAAGATCAGTCCAAAGTACTGTTTCCCCAAACCGCGCACATTTTTCCAAAAGTCGTATTCCGCTGTCTCCCTTGTTTTACCAGATCTCACCCGATTTATTGTTTATTTGATATTTCCCAGTCATGTTATCTCTTATATTCATTAAACCTATTAGTATAATTGAGGTTTTTAATGTGGGGAAGTGGTGAGATTCACCACCCGTGATCCGACGCCTACCTACATGTCGGCTTGCGTGATATTTCTGCAAGCAGGAGACGGCCCAGTCGGGACAATCACACGATGTCTACTAGAAATCTCCTCATGACAGCGATTGAATTCGACCTGCCTAACTAGTGGCGAAAACCTGTCACCATCGTGACTTGAAACTTAAGACCTCCCGGTCAGGAGCGCTGCAAAGAGAGAGAGAGAGTCAGAGACGAAGAGAGACAGACAGAGAGACAAACAGAGAGAGAGAGTGAGAGGCAGAGAGAGAGTGAGAGACAGAGAGAGTGAGAGGCAGAGAGAGACAGTGAGAGGCAGAGAGAGTGAGAGGCAAAGAGAGAGGCAGAGAGAGACAGTGAGAGGCAGAGAGAGAGACAGTGAGAGGCAGAGAGAGAGAGACTGTGAGAGGCAGAGAGAGAGAGAGACTGTGAGAGACAGAGAGAGAGAGAGAGAAAGAGAGAGAGAGTGAGTGAGTGAGTGAGTGAGTGAGCTGCATGATGCCGCCCGAGTATGGACGCCCAGCTTCCTGACCACGACGCTCCTATAAGGTAGTTCGTTAGATCGACCACGTTGAATATTATGTTTGTACAATTATGTATGTACTTTGGCACAACAGCTCTGTAAGGAGCCCAAGCCTACATGGTGAAGTACATTTAAAAAAATACTTTAAATGGAAATTTAATCCCTTCCATATTGCAAGAACAAAATTGGCTCTTACCGGGCTAATTTTCCAATAAAATAAGTTTAAATTAATACACGCTCTTATGAAAAAACTTTCTTCAAGTTATTGAAAAAGTTGTACTGTGAAAGCACCCTTTTTCTTTTATTCGGTACGTAGCATATTTTTACGAATCAGAAGATATTAAGTGTAATATTCCTCACCTGACCTCCTCACCTTTTGAGGAGTAATTGGTAAATAAAAACTACTGCGAAATTCATCGACCGCGGAAGAGCTGGCTCTCGGCCTAGGAGTTAGGATGTACATCATGCTATTGTCAGTACTGTTTCTCTGGAAGGCGAGGGAAAACCGCTCTAACTAAATTTTTTGTCTCTCACAACTATGGCCTATTTGACAATTCGATTGACTTTCAATATAGTCAAATATTCAACGCAAAAAGAGAGAAAAGTATGAGAGCCGAAATCAACCTAACCTATATTAGATGTTCCAAACTTATGAAAATGAAAAATCATGCGAGAGACTAAATTTTGTAATAAATATTATTTTACTTCACAGCTATTTAACTTTTTACTCTTTTAACTATTTACAAGTAGTTATTTAAGTCCTCTGGTCACGTTTGCAAGTAGCTAATGAAAGTTCACAGATGAAATAGATGATTGAGTGTTCGGCTAGAGGCTGACACGAACGTACCATCTTAATAAAGAGTGTCTCCGAATGAATGTTACAAACTTCTAGGGTACATATAGATAACTTCTAGAGCAAAAAAATGTTTTTCAAGTACAAACAAAGTAAAACACAAGTTTGTGAATTGAGGGAATGAGGGGTCTTTTATGGGGCCCTATATCGCGTTAAGCATCGCGCTCAGAATTTTAAGCTGGTAAAATCTTAACTTGCCAATAGGCCTTCCGGGTTCTCTGCACTCGCTCTTTGCAAATGACGCTAGTGATCAGCGGGTATACAACCCCACATCGAGTCTTAAAAGTGCGCTTTAAGTTTCGGTGACACACAGATTTCAGCGAAATTGAAAAAATATAAAAATGCATATGGGAGTGTCGGCTTTTGAGGGCAAAAAATACAGAAATAATTTATTACTGATTATATTATTTATTAAGTTTTGTAGGGACAAGTGAGTTCTGTCGTAACACGATATTAGTAGTAATCGATGAGGAAACAAATGGGGATTGTTGAGTCACATAAGGAAATAAAGGGGACACGTGGGGTGTCATAGGCGGGCATGTAGGAAACAGATGTGGCTCAAATCATGACCATTATGCAGTGTTCTAAAATGAAATTTGTTTCAACTTTCTATCACATTACATTGTATCATTAGATTCAATATATGCTCCCACTCTATAGCATGGGTGAACAGATAATTGTACAAACCCGAAAACTATGTAAAATGAAATTGAAGAAAATAAAAATAATCTTTCAGTGAAAACTTAAATTGGCTCTTTGGTTTTGTGTCCAATTTAATCTCAACGTTCAGAAATATTAAAATAGTTACTCTCGCACAGTACTGAGTTTATAAAGCGGTCACATACAGTTCAGGTATTATCCGTTTAAATTTAGTTTTCACTTTCTAATTTCTACTTTTTTCTTTAATTTATTTTCCCGTAATTTTTACTTTTAAAATAATTATGTACAAATTGTGATGTTATATAATGATCCAGCTAGTATTATATAATACATGGCGAAATTTGGAAGATTCAGAATATTATCGTTGACTTTTTACCTTTCATTTATGTTTTAATTAATACTTATTTGAAAAACTAGCAATTTAATCACACTTATAGACAACTTGTATTAATTGCCATCTCTATTGCATAGTCCTGAGCAAGGTTTCAGAACTGTAACAAATCATATTCGGCGGAGTAATATCGGGAGAAGGACCACAAGAGATCACGTGACCGACATGAAGCAATATGTAGAGCGATTCATGCTGGGAATTGCGGCAATTTGTCGAGTCGTTAGCGATATGCATCAAGCTATTAAGAACGCGTTTTGCCCCTTCGTCACCAATATGGCGAGCAATTTTCCATTCCCATATGCACCTCATTTTGTTTCAAGCTCTGCCACCAATCTAACGAATTTCGATGGCTCTATCTGTAATCATGTACTACAAAATAATTTGAATTATTGTAAAGTCAAAACGAGATGTTATATTCCTGAAATAAAATATATTATTCATTAATACAAATTATCATAGGTATTACCACGAGTGTTTTGAATATTGTCGATAAATTCCCGAGTTGTGAAATAAGAAGGGGATTTACCTAAGAATTTTCTAAGCACGAGTGATATTTAATAGGCTATTCCACGAATGAAATTATGTTCAATATAGTTTCAAAATACGCCAATATTGAAAATACCTGAAAAATGATAAAATTAAACAATACACGCGGTTTATGGGACATAGACATAGCGAAAGATGTACACCGTTTCCTATGATACATGCGTCACAGTTTATGATTGGACAGTAATAGGAAGCGGTAAGGAAAATCGTTTAGCAAAATGGATACACTTTTTGTGGTACACCGTCCTGGTTGGGGCAGTTTGTATGTATAGTTAAATGCTATTGATTTTATTTTCACCAGTGAAATAATCATTAAAAATTCATCATCAGTTTTTTCATCTTCAGTGACTAACACCGTAAAAACGATAGTACATTCATTTAATAATTTCAAAATAATAAATTTACACACTATATATTTTGAACATTCCAGTCTTCATGCGGGATATTTAGATACCTCAAAGTTTCTCATAACTTCTCAGTGTGTTCATGAATACGGTTTTAGTATTATTTAATTAAATAACAAATAGTTTGTTTAGTTAACGCACGAGTAACAATATTTTTCTCTACTTTTATTGTAACTTTAGATTTGTCTGCTCTTGACAAAATATATTGTTGCGAAAAAATTAGATTATTGAACTGTACTCTACCGAATATTCTCATTTTATTTTCCCTTCTTTTCGTCATATTTAGTTTATCTAAAGCTGGGATTTTCAAATTACCCTCTCGAATAAAGTCGTCTTAACGTTACGCGATGCGGGAGTGTTAAAAACGTACCTATGTATGTTTGTTCTAGGCGCGACAGCCCTTGAACGGGCTCAGGCCTACCGGCGACGTCCCTGCCGAGCACTACGAGTTAAGGGAGTACGTGTGGTCAGCACGTAGACATCCTCCCGTCATATTCCGGTTATCACACAGCAACATATACTAGAACATTGCAAGGAAAACGCACACTAATATTTCCTGACCGAGAATCGAATCCGGGACCGCGTAGTGGAGAGTTGACTGACGCACGCTGACCAAGAGTTAGCCACGAGGCTGTTAAAAACGTATCTAATGTGAAAGTTTTAGTACAATTAACTAATATGTTTAACAATTTTATCAGTTTATGAGTGTGCAAAAGTTAGTTTATTTATTTAATATTTTACCTCAGCATTTTAGATATCATTTGGGATGAGACCTCCCAATAAAACAATAGGACAAGTGGTTAGTAAATAAATACTTTATTACAATTATATTACAGTTCTATTTACAGTAGCTTCAAAAAGCAAATTTTGTAAGTATTACGTGTGTACACGAAAATTGTAATCAAAGTGTGATAAATTGCTTGAATGAACTTAAGGCAAATTGTTCAAGCATTCTAATGGAAGGGGAAATATTCCCTCCCAATACAATACGTTGTTTAGGAACATATTATTTTTTTCTTTGTTCCGTACATATTAGTTTTGAATTGCTTTTCTAACAAAGAGCACACTTTATAGCTTTGGGTTAGCACCTCTTTAAGATAATTAAGATGATGAGTGACATCTTGTTTCTGAGCGTAGATGACAAACAAAATGGTTTATGGTTTGTCTTTTCTGAACAAAAAATCATAGTGGAGATTTTTCTTCGTCTACCAATATCTGCTCAATGATACAGTACTCTAAAACAGTCAAAGAGGCTGCGATGGATTACGGCAGTGACTGTTCCCTTTAGAGTATCTCTAACAGGAAGGTTCTAGGGTTCGATTCCGGACGGGGGAGGATTTTTGGCATTATCTGAGTGGCTAATGCAAATGGCTTCTCTTTCTAGGGAAGAAGTCTATCTTCCAGCTGCTCTGACTGCTAATTATCCATGGTTTCTTCAATCCATTCCAGGCAAAAGCCGGAGCAGTACCTATACAAAAAGGCCACGAACAACACGCGATCTTCCCTATTCTTCCGCATCCTTGTCCCCGCTTCTCGTCTTACAAACACTCACGTTTGGAGAGCACTGGAGAGCTCAGGGGTTGTCTCGTTTGCGGAGGTACCTCGCCAGTGGAGATATGGATATCACATTCTAGCGGAGAAGGACCACCGCCCCTTCTGGGACCGCCACACATTGACGGGGCCCCTTTTGCGGAACTAACGACCATATCACTTCACCTGGCAGCAAACAAAAAATAACCACTGACAAATTGTGAATGGTGGTAGATGAAGATTAGGCATGCTAATGATTTAAATGGGAAACGTATTGGTGGCGTTCACAATGGAGCCGATTTTAGTCAAAATTTCGACCGGCGGGCGTCGACGTTTTCCTCCAATACGCCCGAATCATTCAAACACATTCTAGTAAATGGAAATGGGAATTTTGAATCCGAACGACCCCTTCCGGCAGAATCTGGAAACACCAGCTGTGGGACGAAGTTCTGTTTCGGTCGGATATATCGGTTCCATTCACTCGAAATGAACTGGAGAATCTAGGCAATCTGTTATATCAAGACTGTCTGAATTACAAATAGGGGTTCTTGATTGTGTTTCTTGTTAATGTTTCAAACAGCAAACTCCAGAATTATGGGAAAATTTCTTCGATGCAGCAGTCTGGTGTTTTTTTTGAGGTTAAATAAGTCGCACGACTTTGCTTGCAGTCGTCCGGTAGCGAGGGACCGATATTACTACGTAGCCTAAGAAGCCGTTACCGGCCGGAACTGAACCCGCTGCCTTCGTCTGCAGCTTGCACTGCGGCCCCCGCCCCTGTCCACCCACCCTCGTCAATAGAGTCACTTATTACTACGCGGCGCGTCTCCCACCCGCTGGCTCGAGGGTCATTTGCATTGTAATCTCTGGCAGGCGCTCCGCGGGCCGGGGCTCGCTGCGAGGGCCGGGCGGGGATTATTTGGGAGCCAGCGCCGGCCTACGCAGCAGAAAGGGGCGGCGCCTGACCTGCGGAGCGGCCTGGGGCGGCCTGCAGACTGCGTGAGGCGGGATCAAAAGGTTCTCGCTCAACCGCCAGAAGAGGCTTGGTGGCCATAACGGACGGTATACACGCGGCGACGGGGTGACGTGCCAAGGAGGGAAGAGTAGGTCTTTTGTGTTCAGATAAACATGACTCGTCATTTCAGGAAGTAAAAACAATACATGACCGTCATACATACGGTTTGGTGACACACGGTTTGCCATGGCATGTCGCCAAGTAACATTTTGTTTTTGCCCAGTCGTTTCCTTTCCATTTCTCTTTTTTTCTATAATGCTCATGAGATTGCTCTAAAAGTGAGTCGAAGGACCGAGGATATTACAAAAACATTGAAAGTGAAACTCCGATTTTTCGGATGCAATTGAATGAAATTTAAAATTTGTGAATTAGCAAAGTTAACGCGCATATTACGAAAGAACTGTGTCAGTAGCAGTCCCCAGTAGGGGACCCCATTTGAGGCCGTTAGGACTTAAGCCGCAAGCCGGTCGTCAGAAATGCAGTCTACTCGCTGTTAATAAATGACGCAAATGGCCTCCCAAGGCTAGCAAGTTTTTGAAATTTGAAAATACGTATAATATTACGTTCTAAACACGCTGCGAGTAAAGCGGAATTACAAACATTAATTTCCTCGAATATCTTAGCTTCTGAGTTCAAGATTGTAAAGGAATAAATTAATTGGTAGTATTGAAAGGAACACGCCGCTTTAACTTGGGATACTGTATAAATGATTACACAGGCACACACAAAAGAAATTGTCAAACTCAAAAGGCTTGACTCATGTTTTTCTATGTATGTCGACTTTCTGAAACCGAATCCGAAGCCAGAATTGCGCCAACATCCTTCTGTCTTTTAAATCGCGGAAAACCACCATGAAATTGTAAATTGAAAATTTTACGGAATTTCTTGCGATTTAAAAGGAGAATGTTGGCGCAAATCTGGCTTCAGATTCGAATTCAGCGAGTCGACATACATAGAGAATCATTTGTAACGACTTTGGGTCTGCCAATTTTTTATTTTTATTTTGTGTGCCTGTGTTATTACAGATGAACTGCAGAAACAAATTTTCACTTACGCCAGAAGGGTAACCATGCATTCAAAGTCGTTTCTCTGGATACATATCTAGAGTGGCTGAAAAGTTAGAGTTTCTGTCGCCGTTTATGCGCGTACTGTTCTGGCATTTGCCTTGTATTGATCGGAGAAAGTACAGAAAACTACCGATCAGTGTAGACTGGTGATAGAATTCTCCTCTTGACAGCGATAGCAATGCTCGGCACTGCCAGCAACAATGCTCGGCACGCGGGTGGAAGTGAATATTTGGGGTAGAATTCGCACGATCCGTGACCTCGTTTAAGGAACTACTCGAGCATTTGCCTTCAACTATTCGAAGCAAACCACCTATCAGGCCAGCCATCGTGCGTCATCTTCGGGAATCGAGCGAAGTTTGTAGAGTGCTTGCATTTTTTTTCGCTAAAGCACATTGCAATATACAAACAGTTGTCGATATTAGAAAGTTAAACTACGGGCAAATCGCACAAAACATGATTTTAATTTTGTTGGAATATATTCAGCATTGTGTGGAAACAAGTATCTCGAAAATATTTCTAGGTATTTATTTCATTTTCATTATTCGGTATCCAAAAATAATTTTTATGCTAAGGGGTTTTCTTCATTCGCACGTCTTTTGTGTTCTGTACAGCTAATCAGTAACTGCTATGCAAGTTGAGTGGGATCTAGTATTCAATGAAACATTTCTTTCTAAATCGTTAATGTGTTACATTGACATGAATTCAATGTTTGTAAAAGTTATCTGTACACGAAATAACAATACACGACAAGTTAGGTCATCAGTGAGATAATGCTATAACGTATTATGAAAGATGAAATACCTTCTATCCCTATTTTTAATAAGGGACATGATTCTACCTCTGGAAAAAAATCGAACGAACAAAGAGAAGAAAAATGAAAAGAGAACTGCGTTGTAAATTCCAGTGACGGGTTCCTTTGGGATTTATAATTATATTTTAATTAATTCTAAATTTTACCTTCAATGCAATTTTCTCTGATGTTCTTCGAACTGAATAATCCTGTTTTCTGCACTTAAAATCTAGATACCCTTCCTGTCCTTTTTAGCATTATCACTGAGCCACGTTCCATCATTCATAATATTTTATTGAGGTCCAGCCAATCGTACCACACAGAAATTTCATGAAAAATGTACACGTAAATTCCAATCATATTTTATCTTTCAAGAAAAATGAAATATAAAATCCTACTTACTCCACATTTCGCGTTATCCCCAATCAATCGTACTCGTGCGAATCTTTTGCTACCAACTGGGTCATATTAAAAATAATTATCAAAAATGTTCCTGAATCTGCCAAAAGGGAAATGAAAGTAACTGAATCTCATATTGTTTTTGGTGAAAAATTGATAAAATTTTGTACTGTTAAAATATGGAGAGGAAACTAGGAATACTTGACCCAAAGTAATTTTATAAAGATCGGACGTTGTGAGTTGAGGTTAGTTCTTTCCATCTTTTTTTCGAAAGGTTAATTCTTATTGCCAGGCCTAGAAAGAAACAAGGGGATAAAGCTTGTTCACATACGTAGTCACTTACTTCCTCTATCACGTTTTGTAGTCATAATTCAAATAATGTTTTGTGGGCCCTTTACGCAAATATCGCTAGACGGCAAAATATATGAGTATTATTTCTTGAAAAACATTTCTAATACTGGTCCCATTTTCAGTGAACTCTGTATTTTTAAAAATTGTAAAAAGTTAGTCTCGTAAAATTACAATTTTACTGGTAGAGAGTTTAGTCTTAAGTTTCTAAAGATGTTCTTAAACCCATATCTTTAAAGCAGTATTATGAACAGTTGTTTGAAAAAAATAGTAGTTTTTACGTAATTTGTGTTTGAAATTAAATCCATTTTGAATCACTTTTAAAAAAACAGTTCCAATTTATTTTATTTGGCGATTAGAGCAAAGGAGGCTTAGAAAAATGCCGCAGACCATTTTCGTTGAAATTTTCAAAAATTGCAACAGTTAAAAACAACGCGAGAACCTACGTGGTGTTGGGACCACTAGCAAGATTATGCGAATTATTTTATTTCTCCTAAAGAGCATACTTCCTTTTATCGACACAACGTATGTGCTATTGTAACACCACTAATTTTTTCTAGTACTATCAAAAAGACCCTAAGAGACATTGTATTATCCAAATTATTTTAACTCTCTGCTGGAGCTGGGTTACATTTATCGACGCTCTACTCTCTGCGAGAACGTATGTGTTGTTATAGCTACACTAGTTCCTTCACGTACTATCAAATCGTACGTAGTGTATAGAACGTTGGATTATATTTGAAATATTCTATTTTTTCCGCTAGAGCTGACCTAGGTTGATGGTCGCTCTGCTGCATTTCCGTTTCAGCTGCTTCCGCGCGGCGTGGCAAGCAATCGACTCGCACCGCCAGCCTTGAGAGATGTCTCTGCGCCCAAAGCCGGCTGTGAATTCCGCCATCTGAGCGCTCGGCCCGGCTGGCGCGGTCTGCGGTGCGACGGATTCCCCGACGGCGGGGGGGGGGGGGGGGGGGGGGGCATTCCGAGGCGTCGGTCACGCGGACCCGTGCGAGCTTGAAAGCCCTTAGTCTCCGTACCACAGGGCTCTGAAAGGGAGCCGGACGTCCCATATCCTGTGTAGCCTCCGTTTCTTAATTTTGCGGACTTTTTTTTTTTCAGTCGCATACCAATGGAGGAAGGGGTCAACGGAAATCTCCAGATGTGTTTTCTTTTTTTTATACGCTTCATTTTTTGGTTGCCTGAACTACAAGGTCATTAACGTATATTTATATAATTCATCAAATAATTTCAAAGATTTGAGAAATTAGAAGACTTAAATGTGAGATGTTTCTGTTAGAAATTTGGAAATGCAATTTAAAAGGGAATATGTCGTACGTAATTCTGAATACACTGGGCAATGTGTTAAGATATGTTGAATAGTTAATACAATGTAACAAGATACAGAACGTGGTGGAGATGTTTTTCAGAACAGGTGAGAGTGGGTATGAGGGTTATGTGTTATGCAAAGTTTTGTGCGAGTAGTTTCTTTTTGTCTTGTTTAAAGTGAAGGAGCATCATTATCAAAAATACGTATGATTTGGTTCAGGTTTTTAAAAACAACCACATTGTGTTGCAGTGGAGCTCAGCTTTGTTGTTTTTCTCTATCTTTGTTTAAGTGGAAACACAGTGTTGGCTTTAGACAATAAATTACTTACTTGCTTTCTGTGGCGCCATCGCTGGTTCGATTGCCGGTCGGAGTAAAAATAGAGCTTTGCACAGAAGAGTGTCTTCAAAGAGTGAGAAGGAATTACTTTCCAAGTGCCGGACTATTCTGCTTACACGTTAAAGGAAACTTCGTCACGCAAAGTTCCTGATGAAAGAAGAAAAAGTAAACAGTTGACTTTTAATGATTTAGGTAGAAGAAAGTAAAACAACAGAGAAAATATGTCGCAGAGCAACCATGCAGTGACTTACTGGAACCCAAGGTCAAAGTCTATTTCATAAGTGGGCTTGAAGATTGAGCAGACATTTTAAGACCAATTAATATCGTTTTTAAGATTTAAAATCCTAATGTAGTAATTGAAGTATGCCTTAAATAAAAAAATAGTATACAGCCTGTAACAGGGAGAAAGCTGTAGACTTATGAGGAAACAAAAGTACTGAGGGGTGGATATGTAGAATGTTTGTGTACCTTACCTCTTTAGTTGCAGATGTTGTGATGTAGCCTATGCATTTGTACGAGTAAATAATATTTGTTCTAAAACAAAGAATCTAAATCCCAAAAATTAAAATTCAGAAGCTTTTGTTACGAGAAACATTTTTTTCTGGATTATATCGTTCATTGCGACGGAGTAATTATATGTTAAGTTTGTATTACATAATTCTGAATAAGTACCATAAGCAAATGGTAGAATATTTTGTGATGACTATTACTCACTGTTAATGTTTCTTGCATGAATAACACTGGTAATTGATGATATATTTATATTTTTTTTACTTTTGCCTAGATACATTTGTATAATTAGGACGAATAAGTTTACATGAACGTAATTTTATGGTTCATTCATTTCAATTGATGTATGCTTTATTAATTGTGTGTTAGTTTCTCATTCCGGAATTCTATTCAAATTTATAACCTATGAATTCATCATTTGAGTACATGTAGATCCTCTTTATTTGCTAATTATTTCAATAATTAATTGTCGGAAGGCATACATGCATTGATAAATTTCGTACAAACCAGGTATGATTTCATTTATAATTCCTTTCTGATTTGAAGAGAAGAGAGACCAAAATGTAGGAATACAAGGTGTGAAAATCTGCATTTTTTCAACCCAATTCATTGCCTGGCACAGTAAATCGAGCTTATTTTCCTCATTCTATAGCACGGTCACGTGTGAATGGAGCAGGAGGGGAGGAAAAGTAGGGAGCGAGCCTCGCGTGCATGCCATTGGGCTTCGCTCGCGTGTTCAGCGGGCATGCAATAGTCGCTCACACGCACGGCTGCCTCCAGCAGCGGGGCTGTTTGCAACGACTGTCACAAGCGGTCAGCAGTGATGCCCTTGCTCAAGAACTCTTGCGTTGCTTCTTACGTATTGAGTACTCTTCGATTCAGGCATACTTCAAAGACTAGCGTTGGGAAATTGGGGATAGTATTGCTTCTTGAGAGAGACTTTCTTTATTTAGTAGTTACTAATTTATTTATTTAAAAACTGTAAAACTTTGTGTGATGTACTGAGAAGAAGTGCAATCTATGCACTTATGTTTGAGCTCTTGGATAACTGATACCTACTATAACTCATATAGTACATATAAATTTGGAAAATGAATAACTAGAGTTTTGGGCAAGATTTTTAAGAAAAGTTTTGCTCCCGTGTAATAAAATCTCTTTTGTAACGGTAAAAGTGATACATATGTTGGCTCTTGTCCCTTATCGTTTCAAGCGTAAAGTAATCGACTTCCTGTTGGAGAACTTGGATATCAATGAATTCCCCAATGAGCTCTAGAAAACCTGTATAGATAGTGAAGCCACATTTATGTTCAGAAACACACCAAGGTCTAATCTACGATGTGGTCAATGCGTCCATGGAAACCGGAAAAAATTCCGGTGTGAACAATTGCCCTACATACAGGGTGCGGCAGTTAAATCTGGAGAAATTCAACATTGTTTTAAAATGTAATTTATTGAAACAAAGTACTAATATAAAGAAAATGTTTTAGTCAATATTCGTGTAACCTGTTACAAGTGCAATTACGCAATATAACCGCCGTTGGCCTCAACTACCGTCTCCAACCTTGTTCTGAAGCCCCAACACGCTCTCTATAACGCAGCGGTGTCCGTTTTGGCGAATGCTGCTTCGATAGCGGCGCGTAGAGTAACCCGCTGCGCTTGTTGGTAACCGTTCAACAAAACTCCAAGCATAGTAGTCGAGGGGGCCGGGGCAATTCGGGAGTCCAACCTCTTTGAACCAGAACATGTCCGCATTGCCTGACAGCCACTTTTACACTAAATGACTCGTGTGAGCCTGTCCGCGGACTTCTCCGAAGCATTGTATTTCGCCACAACATCATAAACAGTCGACCTCAGGTACCCCAAGAATCGAATGATCTCGGTCGCCGAACGACCAGCGCAAAGGATTTCAATAATCGCGGCTCTTTGATTATACTCCGCACTTGTACACAGCATCTCGGCCACTTTAAGGTTACGACTGTTTATTAGATACGTCTTGCTTTCAAGGACGCTTATCATGACCTTTAGCAGATTTACAATATGGCGGGAAATTCAAATTGAAATTTGTTCGGATTCGTCTAGCGCCTTCGCTTTCTGGAGGGTTCGTAAGAAACGAGATGAAAGCACTGTGATTTGTGCCGCGACCGCAGGAACGCTGCAAGCGTCCAGGGAAGGTGTGGGACAGAAAGATTTCGGTGAAATGTGTCGTCACGTATTCCCTACCTTTGACGCGTAGTGCGGTCCGCAGACGACTGATCGAGGAATTTGTCGGACGTACTTTACCCTACGACGGCTTCACCGAGAAATCTGGAGTGGACGAGCCGTGGAATGCCTCCGTGCAAGACGAGAAGGCGAAACAAAGCCCTGAGCGAGACGTGTGGAGTGTGGTTCGTCTGCGATCACGGCGTGGAGTCTCAGCATGGGTGACCGAAATGGCTAAGGCGGAAAAGCCCTAGGTGTCTATAGCTAGTGGCTAGACTGTTCAGCCCACTTCCTTCAAAATTAATATTCGGCATTTGATCTTCTTGATGTCGTGACCCCTTCTTTTTAATTTTGTGGGTACTTTACATGAAGCCTCAGGGATATTTTCAAAATTTTTAAGTTGGCTGCATAGTTTTCGATTAAGTGTGTTGTTAGATAGTGAAAAGATCGTTTAAGATAATGATGCAGATCTCATTTTTGTTCAAAAATCTCATTTTTCGAAAATTACAAAAAGTCAATTTTTTCGGAGTCCTCCTTCAACTAAATTTTAAAAATAAAAATTATTTCCATTAATGAAATCTATTCTTTAAAGACCCGAAAGTTTCGGTTGAGGTGGCTTAGGGCATCTATCGGAGTTACTGTGTTCCCTCTGTCCAGGTTGTCCTAAGGTACAAGTCCCTACGGTAGCAGACTTTTCCACACACTCAAATTCAGTCGCAGTCTGGTATAGAATTCTAGTGGCAATAGCTCAGATCAGTAGTTTTCAGTAGTTTGTACGATCGATTCTTGGCGAATGCCGAAGCAGTAACCTATCAAACAGGCCAGGGACTGCGAAAGATATTTCCTTTCATTTTTTTTCATATCCGGACTCTTAATACTCACACTTTTATATGGATTATACTACCACATATGTCGGAAGACAAGTCGGGTCCTAACACCTTGTTACTGATGGGGTAGTGTCCCGCCGGTGAGAGGAACCTGAATAGTAAAATCCGCAATTCGACGTGTACGTTGTCTCTAAATCTCACCATTCATCGCAAGAAAAACACAGTAGTACATCCTACGTACGGGTCTAATTACAATAGCACTTGATACACCCGGAAAAATGAAATTATTAAACGACACCTTTAAGGGTCGCACGTGAGATAGCACTCTCGCCTCGGGCGTCTATTTGTGTATGCTTTCGTAGAATTATCCATACGTGTGTACGAGTTTTTTACTTCATTTCTTGCTGTTGGCAATTGTGGATGAACTAGCGTTGCTAGACTGCAGCAATTCTAGAAACTAATAGTGGTAAATATGCACGTAGTTTGTCGCCCATAGTAATGGTTATGTAATGTCATTATACCAAAATGTCTGTTCATATTAACATGTCTCAGTATTCATTAATAAACGTATGAGAAATTGTAGAACATTAGATGCAAGTCGCGTTTTCTTGAAGATAATGTATTAAGGGGAATTCGACAGTTAAAAGTGCACTCCGTACTACTACAACGTCCCCAACAATGAGAACAAATTCCCGTAATTTCGTAACTGCCGCGTCGCTGCACGGTGGCAGAGAAATTTAAAAAATGCGTGGGTAGAGCGGGCGCAGAGTGATTGTACAAATGTGGTGGAAGGAAAGTTTGAGAGCTGGGAGAACTCGGCGAAAACATATCGGTTTTGTCCACGACAACAGCATCTCTCGGAATTTAAACTCCGATACTAATAGGGGGAAGTTTAACCCCTATATTTGGTCTCCTCGACGTACTTAGCGAAATGTTTTGCGACAAAATTCGAATGAGTGATT